TTGACTAGTTCTTCGTAAGTTCCTCTTGCTTCTACTCCACCCTAGTTTAAACAATAGAATTCTATATTTAGTCCAAGGGTATGATCATATAGAAAAAGTCTCGATGATTTAAGTGAAGGTGAGAATTGAGAATATCAGTTGCAGTTCACCATTTCGGCGATGTAAATGGTGAACAAACTACATATTGTTTCCTTCCTTGTTGTCTTTTCGTTGTTTGGGAGTGTGATAATAAATTGGGAGTGTGATATTCAGCAGTTAATTGTCACATTTTCAAGGAGTGCATTCAACAATCAATCCCAGAGACGAGCACTTGGAAACGCAAGTAAGTAATGTGTCTCACTTGGGTAAAAAATGTACATCTACTGCCAAAATATCATTTTACTGCCAAGCGACTGCCAATGACTGCGAAGAAGGCGACTGCCAATGACTGCCAGCAACTGTCATGAACATGTACATTTAATTTCAATAGCGAGACACCAATCGGGAGTAAATCTCTGAAAATATGCTTGCGTCAACTCCCATTAAAGAATATAAGAAAAACCTTCTTCACCTAGGAGAGGCTAAACCTTGACGATCCCGATGGCGGGGACGCTCCTAGTCAGGTGCTAGGGGGAATCTCCTCTATGGTACTACCCCAATCTCCTAGTTGAGTCTAAGGACCGCTGTATTGCTGTTGCTGGAAAGCTGTCTAACACCGGGAGACAAGCAGTTTCAGCAAAGACCAACTTTGTCAGAACTTCAATGTAAGGAGATCGAATTGGCAAGTCATCAATTCGATGGAGAACATCCATGGACCATGAATAGGTCCTCACTATAGGAATTTACCTCAAATCCAAGGAGGCAATAGAGAAAGAGAGATATATATTCTATTATAGATTCGAGACAACACCGGTGTATCTGTGAAGGGCACGGATGGCTAAACTCCAAGCGTGGAGACTTTAGAGAGTGGACTCATAGACTTTAGAGAATGCCTCGTAGGAGGTACATGAATGGACTCATAGACTTTAGAGAATGCCTCGTAGGAGGTACATTCCTCGGAGGATGAACATCGGTTGTCAGAGGAGAATGGAAATATCCTGTCACTCCTACAACAGAAAAATGCCCATGTATGCTGAGTTATGGACTGTATGATGAGTTATAACTCAAGAAAGGGGGACAGAATAGATCTTTAAGGTCGCGTTGATTAAGTCTTCTTCCTTACAAATATGACTGCATTGGAGACAGTGCTGTCCATCGGCGTTTTTTTGGACATATTATGGTTTTCATAATAAAAATCGACGTAACCTTGAAAATAACCTATAAGGCCGTGGCCCAAAATAGCGGCGCGCGTAGAGCGGAGAGGAGGGGACAATAGAAAAAATACGCCTATTTAGTAGGCCACTTCCATTTACTTCAATGTATTTAAACGCTTCTCGGTCCTCTCCGCTCTCCGCTACGTTAGGTCATCATCGTACGCTTCATGTGGGGCCACGCACTAAGGAGTCATTAAGTGATGCATCGAGACTTCTTCGTGATGTTCATACCCTATTCGTATTATTCGTCAAACCTCATTTAAAACTAAAATGATGTCAGCTTTCTTCAGATATTGCAGTTGGTGTGTTACTAATATTCTCGTCTTTCCTCTAAGATGCTCCACAATACATTTTTCAAATAAATGTTTGCCGACGTGAGTGTCAACAGCAGAAAGTGGATCGTCCATCAAGTATATGTCAGCTTGACGATAAATAGCGCGAGCTAGATTAATCCTCGCACGTTGCCCACCACTCAGTGATACACCTCTTTCCCCTACCATTGTCTTGTCACCTATGAAATAATTATAGAAATAAAATTAAATACTAAAAGCCATAAAGTAGAAGACAAATATGATTTACTAAAAAAAACCGGACTTCCACTGCTCTTACTTCAACAGTGTTTCTATAATATTAATTTCTATCGAAATCTTCCGCCATCTCGACTGGACCAGCAAAGGATTGAGAATAGATGGAGAATATCTTAACCATCTAAGATTCGCTGATGGCATAGTCCCAATTGCAAATAGTTCTAAACAACTACAAGTACAAATTAACGAACTAAATGCAGACAGCAATAAAGTAGGTCTCAAAATGAATTTAGCAAATACTAAAGTGATGTACGGCAAACCGGTATACAGAAAAGACATTCTAATAAATAAACACACTGGAAATAGTAGGAGAATATATATATTTGGGGCAACTAATACACATCTAGGGATCTCTACTACAATAAATCAACAGAAGAATTAAGTTAACATTGAGTACTTATGGAATAAACTCAATCATATTCAAATCTAGAGTGCCACTTTACCCAAAGAAGAAAACATTCGACCAACGTTTACTGCCAGTCATGACTTATAATGCGACTTGGACACTTAAAACGGACATTATCAGGAAACTACAGGTCGCAAAAAGGCAAAAAGGCAAAAGGCGTAGGTAATAAATGTCATCCACAGAATCAAATCCCTCAAGTGGCAATGGGCAGGATACCTGGTAAGAAGAAGGGACAACAGATGGACCACAAAATTACAGCATGGTACCCACGAGGAATGAAGAGACCTAGAGGAAGACCAAACCTGAGATGGAAAAAGCAGCGAAGGAAATTAGCAGCGATAACTTGAGCCTGATACTGAGCAATAACTTGAGATAATTTGAAACCAAATTACTTAAGATGTCCATCTAGACATAAACATTGACTAAGTTATTAAAAATAAAGAAATGGAAGTAAATATTAATATTTTATTATCAAAATTATTTAACTTTACCATAAGGAAATTGTTTAAAGTCTTGTTCCAACGCGCAGACATGTGCAACCTTATTGTACAATGTAGAGTCATACGGTTTCCCAACATAATATTTTTCTTACGGATGCAACGAATAGCCATGGTTCTTGAGACGAGTATGAAATTGATCCACCAATTTGAAGACTTCCTTCGGTAGGAGGTAATCTCCTAAAAAGTAACTATAATTGAATGTGTTACTAATAAATATGTTTCCTTAAATGATATGCTAGTTATACTTGTAATAAAGAACTCTTTTCCCGCACCAACAGGACCAATAACCGCGCACAGTTTTCCCTTCTGGTACAACTAAATCAACGGCCTTCAATATGGGAGTGCCTGGGACCCATTCGGCACTAATACCAGATAAAGTTATACCTTTATCTACCACTTTCTCCACTAAGGATTCTTTTTCATCCAAGATGAGTATTTCTTCTAATCTTTTATTGCTACCCAAGCTTCTGCACCCATACTAATTGCCATGGGATAAAGAATAGCCAGAGCCACTAAAATATAGTTTGAAATATCTACACTCAATGTACAATGTACAGGGTGGGTCAAATTCGATGCTTTTAAAGGGAATCTAACATCGGTGTCTGGAGCTCAATTTTTATCAAAAACATGATGGTGAAAACCGCACATCGATATCTGTTTCGGAGTTACGTGGTCTCAAAAATGTGCATTTTTAACAAATCGCTGTAACTTTTTTGCTATGGAAAATTTTGTATTTTTATGAAAACATTTCCAAAGCATCTTTTTATGTAGAATTTAATGATGAAGTATAATTTTTTTAAAATTACTAATTTAAGAGTTATCAACAGAAAAATTGATGTGGGACACCCTGTATATTTATAATTAAATGAAAAGAACTTAAACCAAACAAAAAAAAAGAACTTTCTCAAAAATATGATACTTGATATTTTGTTATACTTGATATTTTGTTATAAACAAAGAAGTTCGCCACTTTTAACTAGTAGGCTTTGGACCCCTTATTGATTTTCTGCCCCTAATGGAACTCGAAAACATATTTTTCCAGTAAGACGAGGCATCGCCTCAGAAAGCTGAAGTTATCAGCAGTTTTTGCAGCCAATTTCGAGAATAATTATTATTGACCTAACCAAGATCCCAGCCGTTGGCCATCGAGGCCGCCGAACTTAGTGCCTATAGATTTTTACCTTTGCGGAAGAATAAAGGTTTTTTTTTTAAATTGTCCATATAACCTAGACAAGAATTAGAAGTACTTAGCGGTTATGCGAGGGTAACTTTCATCCCCACTGAGTTAATGAATTCCGCGAGAAATGTTCCAAAACCAAAACATTCCCGTCTGTCCATAACAAAAGAGGGTCGACATGTCGAACAACTGTAGCAAAATCTCATGTCTTGGTTTGCTATTAATTTTTATTGTTATTAGATATAGTTTAAATGTGTCGATGTTGCTAAATATAATTTACATTGTTATAAAATTCTGCATCTCTCATTGCAAATGTTATTTTCGTTTTAACTGCTACAAGGAAGAATTTTTTTGCATTACAGCCGGTGCAGTTCAAAGCCTACTTATTTTTAAAAACTCTATATCTCGAATGGGAATCAAGCAAAATATCAAGTATGCTATATTTTTGGAAAGGTAATTTTAAATTATTTTCAATCAATTAAAAATATACAGGGTGTCCCATATAAAAAATCAAATTTTTTGTTGATAATTCTTAAATTATTAATTTTAAAAAAATTATACTTAAACCATTAAATTTTACGTAAAAAGGTTCTTTGGAAATGTTTTCATAAAAATACAAAATTTTCCATAGTAAAAAAGTTCTTCTTTTTCTTCCTAAGGTGCCGACTTCTTGTGAAGGTTGGCGACAATCATGACTAATTTTATTTTGTTGACTGCTGCCCTGAACAGGTCGCTTGATGTACAGTTGAACCATTCTCTGAGATTTCGAAGCCACGACAGCCGTCTTCTTCCTATGCTTCTCTTCCCTATTATTTTACCCTGGATAATTAGTTGTAGAAGCTTGTATCTTGTACCTCTCATTACGTGGCCCATATATTGGAGTTTTCTGATTTTCACCTCTTGGGACAAATTCTAGATCTTTTGAGACTCTTCGTAAGACTTCTTCATTGGTAATTCTGTCAACGTATGATATCCGAGTACCCTTCTGTAAAGCCACATCTCGAAGGCATCTCT